CCTCCCAAAGTGCTGGGATTACAGGCTTGAGCCACCGCGTCTGGCCTTTTGTATTTTTTTTAGTGGAGAGGGGATTTCACTGTGTTAGCCAGGATGGTCTCGATCTCCTGACCTCGTGATCCGCCCGCTTTGGCCTCCCAAAGTGCTGGGATTACAGGCGTGAGCCATCGCGCCTGGCCTCCCATTTTTCTTTAAACCTAAAACTGGTCTAAAAAATTAGTTTCATATTTTTTTTTCACAAGAATGTGGAACAACTGGAACCACATACTCTGCTGCTGGGAGTGTAAATAGTGCCCCTATTAAGAAAAAGTTGCCGGGCGCGGTGGCTGAAGCCTGTAATCCCAGCCCTTTGGGAGGCCGAGGCAGGTGGATCACCTGAGGTCAGGAGTTCGAGACCAGCCTAGTCAACATGGTGAAACCTCGTCTCTACTAAAAATACAAAAATTAGCCGGGTGCGGTGGTGGGCATCTGTAATCCTAGCTACTCAGGAGGCTGAAGCAGGGGAATCACTAGAACCCGAAGGCAGAGGTTGCCGTGAACCAAGATTGCACCACTGCCCTCCAGCCTGAGCAACAAGAGCAAAACTCTCTCTCAAAACAACAACAACAACAACCAACAAAAAAACCCAACTTTATTGAGATCTAGTTTACATTTGCCAAAACGAACACTTTTTTTATTTTTTTTTTGAGATGGAGTCTTGCACTGTCGCCCAGGCTGGAGTGCAGTGGTGCAATCTCGGCTCACTGCAACCTCTGCCTCCTGGGTTCCATCGATTCTCCTGCCTCAGCCTCCCCAGTAACTGGGACTACAGGTGTGCACCACTACGCCTGGCTAATTTTTGTATTTTTTAGTAGAGATGGGGTTTCACCATATCGGCCAGGCTGGTCTCAAACTCCTGACCTTGTGATCCGCCTGCCTCGGCCTCCCAAAGTGCTGGGATTACAGGCATGAGCCACCACGCCCAGCCCAAAATGCACACTTGTAAGTGTGCAGTTCGATGAGTTTTCACAGTGTGTGCATCCACACAGGCCCACCTCACTAGCAGAACCCTGTGACAGTGACTCAGCCCTTAGGGCACCTGCCGGGAGAGAAGAGTTAGAGGCAGGAACTTCTTCCAGTTGCCTTATTTGCAGAGGAGGCGGCTGAGGCCCAGAGATCACTCGTCCAAGACCACCCCTGACTTAGCCAGAGTCCACACTGAAACCCAGGGTTCTCAGCTGTTTTCTTGTCATTGTGCAAAGCCACTTACTTGCCAAGAAGGTAGTGACTGCCCCATTGAAGAGCAAGGGGAAGCAGTGCAGGTTTTTGAGCAGGGGAGCTACATGAAGAAAGTAGCATGTTATCATTCTGAAGGCCTCCTATATCTGAACCACCTCCGATTCTGTTGCTATTAAGTGCTTTTTCTCTTGGTTTTCAGTGATCTAGTCCCTCCATCTTTTTTTTTTTTTTTTTTTTTTTGGAGACCGAGTCTTACTCTATCCCCCAGGCTGGAGTGCAGTGGCACGATCTTGGCTCACTGCAACCTCCGCCTCCCGGGTTCAGGCGATTCTCCTGTCTCAGCCTCCGGAGTAGTGGAGACTACAGGCATGTGCCACTATGCCTGGCTAATTTTTGTAGTTTTAGTAAAGACAGGGTTTCATCATGTTGGCTAGGTTGGTCTCCAACTCCCATCCTCAGGTGATCCACCAGACTTGGCCTCCGAATGTGCTGCGATTATAGGTGTGGGCCGCCGCGCCCTGCCCTTCCCACATTTTTGAGACGGGGTCTTGCATGTGTTGTCCAGGCTGGAGTGCAGTGGTGTGATCGTGGTTCACTGAGCCTCAAACTCTTGGCCTCAAACACTCCTCCCACCTCAGCCTTCAGAGCAGCGGGAGTACAGGTGTGCACCACCATGCCCAGCTATTGTTTTCATTCTTTGTAGAGATGGGTTCCCACTGTGTTACCCAAGCTGGTCTCGAACTCCTGCCCTCAAATGATTTTCCCACCTTGGCTTCCTAAAGTGCTGGGATTATGGGCATTAGCCACCATGTCTGGTGATCTGGTCCCTTCTTCTTTTTTATTTTTTTCTTTTTTGAGACAAGGTCTCACTCTGTTGCCCAAGCTGGAGTGCAGTGGCATGAACA